CTCTTCCTCAAGCTCGCGCTCTTCATCGCTATCAATTTGTACTGAAGCGAATGCATAAAAGATTTCACAAAACGAATTAACGACTTTGCCAATACTATCAATAAACATTTAAAGATAAAAAAGAGCGATGAGTTAACAGAAAATCATTAAGTAATGAAGACCAACCATCAACAACAGCTTTTGCTGTTTGCTTCAATTGAATGGGGGCAGACCTTTTCACACCAAATGAAATCTTCATTTTTGGGGCCTCCTTTGCCTCTGATGTGCTTGCTTCCATTGCTTCTTCAGGCTGGTCCATCGCCACTTCTGAAATTTAACTGAATTTGATTGAAGTGATGATCACTGAATGAAAGTTGTGGCGAAGCTCGCAAATCTTTGTCATTGGAAGTAGAGCATATGATGATAAAAATAATGAAACAGTTGCAATAGGAAAAAGTTTCTCGAAACAAAAGCGCCCCATCTTTCAAAGCGAAATGAAATGCAGATTTGTTCCGAACATTGGTAACTTTACAATGATAATCATATGAGAGTTACTCAAAGTCGTTGTAATAGCGATTGAACTTACAATATGACGGGCTGAGGGGTTTTGTAGTGGTTTGATAGACGTCAAAAATTAGAATACTAAGACCTAGAAATAAGGAGATTGTGGTTAGAAAATTCCTAAATTTCCCAGCTCTTTTTTCACATGTTAAGTGAAACAACTTGAAGTAAAGAACAAAGGACTCTTGAGATAAAACTTTCCGATATGACAAACCCATTCGAAAATGGCTAGATTGGAAACTGGCAAATTGTCAAGCGCTAAACTGCGAGCGCTGCGACAAATGTTGCTTCGTTCTAGTAAATTGCGGCAGAAATTACTGAAGACTTGAGGGGAGCTGTTTCATGCTTCATTTTTCTGGGAGTATATACACACACGAAATCTAGGTATTTTATTTACAAACCGTAATAAATAACCATGTAAACAAGATGTCAGAAAAACATCAAGGAAGATAACAATCATTTCTTGCCCTCAACCATTATGATATGATAGCCAAATTTAGTTTTTATAGGTGGATCTGTATAGATGGGCTTGTCACAGGTACTCTTAGGTAACTCGAAAGCAGCATCTTGAAATGGACCGACCATTGAACCGCGAGTCATCCAACCAAGATCGCCCTGAAGAATATAATGATCAAAAAAGAGTGAATCTGTTAGAGATTATGAAAATACACCAATAAATAAGAAATTCTTATGCTGACATAGGAATCATTTGGTATTCATGATGAATAATCAACAATGTAACGTACCCCAGACCGTGCCTTATCTTCACTGTACTGAGCAGCAACTTCATGGAACTTCATACCAGACTTTAGCTTCTCTATAGCTTCCAGAGCTTTGCTCTTAAATATATAAAATTCAAATGAAGATTTTCAATTAGACATAGTTAAAAAAGCGATAGGTTGACAGAGGAAGGCTTA